CTTCAACCATTTATTATCTCAAATTCATTTGCATTCACAAATGTGCATGTTTGTCTTACCATGCAATTTATCAACACAGACAGACCTACTCCAGGGATATATTGCTGTAAGTATGCACACAGACATCTTTATATCACTGTTCACTGATATTCTTTTTTGATGAAAATGTTTTCACCTAGCTACTTTTCACAAAAAGGGCACAACGAGTGGAGAAACAACTAAGACAAGTTCTTATGTATAAATAAGATTTCAGACAAATTATTACGTGAAAACAAGAAAAGAAAATTAAGTTTTTTTCTTTGAATAAAAATTAAGTCCAGTAAAAGTATTTATTTTAGAGCATTCAAAGTTAAATACACACGACATTTAGTAATAACAAAAAGAATGCCTTATAATATTTTACGTATACATGACATACAGCCCTGGATAAACAGGATATGCAAATGAGAGCAAAACTACAATGCTGATACGTGAGCTGTTTCATCCAATCACTGAGAAAATATGAATTTCATTGATTGTGCAAAATTATTGTGTTCGTTCATTCCACAAAATTATTTCATTTCAATACAAGTCAAATTTTCGAATTCACTGTAATAAAATCTTCATTGAAAATGTTAGAAACATCAACCCATTAAAGGGTCAATCCTATAGTTTCTTCTTGTTTTTGCATTAAATACATATCTTCAATGAATTCATTTTTGATTGAATTCCTCCAAACAAATTTCAAGTGAAAAAAAAATATTCCCAATTAATTGTGGATCTCTTCCCACTGGGCAGGTTTTGGTTTCTGTATACAAGTAAACGTAACAAGAGCCTCTTTAAGCGTAGTAAAACTTGACAAATGATCATAAGTCTCAAAATGATCTTAAGTACAAAGATTTGAGCTGAAAGACTACAGCAGAATTGAGACAACATTGAAACACAGAAAATGATTATTTGTATATCACCCCCTAGCATAAATGAATAAAATGCTGGCTCAGGTATTTTGTTATTGCTATGTACAATCAGAGGAGGGTGCTTACTACAATTAGTGAACATAAAAAGAGGACTTTCTTACCTCTTTGAATAAAAAAGCGAACGTCACAAATTAATATTACTGCAAACTGTCTTAATTTCACAAATCAGGAAAAATTTCAAAATTTTGTGAAACACTGAAATTTTCCCTGCGCTCCTAACGACATTGAGTGCCAGTGACTTTCGCGAAATTCAACAATGCCATAAAATCCTCAAATCATGAAAATGTCTAGGAGTGACAAATAAACAGTTCCCAACATTACCGACATGCACGGAAGGGTCCATCTAAATTGGCTATGCAAGCCGGGCAATATCAAACCAGAGAGGGCAATATTACCCATTTGATACAAAGTTTGCCAAACTCCAAATTACATACATAAAAGCCTGAGTTGAGAAAATACAAAATATAAAATACGAAAAAACGCAGCTTTACTACAATAAACAGTGAGGCACTAAAAGGTGAAGTTGAATTAGGCATACATAATTTTGTTTTCACATTTTTTAACTATACGCTGCGATAATATTCATATTAGCAATACGATTTGCATGGACATAATAAAATACATTAAAAATATTGTCATTTAAGACGATGCTTGTCAGGTTAATTGATTAGTAGTATTGTCACATGATTTTAATACATGGTTTGGACAGGACCATCAGGTTTTGCAGCAATTGAACATTATTACCATGGCAACCACAACAGATCATAATAATAATCCCATCATACACATTTTCAGTGTAAATGGGATAAAAACAATTTTTCAAATACCAAAAAATATCATATCTTCCATGTGTGAAAAAACAACAGATTTACCTCATTTAATTAAAATGTCTGTTAAAAACTGCAAAAAGGTTTTTATATGTAATACATATCTGAAAATTCCCATATCAATTACCTAATTTGCATCCTAGTTAAGAAGCATTGCCTTTAAAAAAACATAAAAACATCTGAAGTTAAAACTAAGCAGAATTATTGATTTAGTAAGATTGTTCATGTTTTTAAAAACAGAGAATATATAGACAGACATGCAAATTATGAAAAGCATAATCAAACAATATTAGGTAACCTTATTACCATATATGGAAATTAATTGCATAATTAGCATACTGGTTGCATATGTGAGGGCATGGAGATATGAACAATAAACACTGACTTATAAAAAAAATTGAAATATTTTGCATCTATTATCAAAACTGAAAGATGAATGGTCTGTTTTTTTGGAACAGCAAAATACTATTAGTTCTGAATGGAGATGAATAATTTAAAAACAGACTGGAAATAGAATGAACTGTTATATGCAAATGAGTTTCCATATATGGCATCATCTGCCTTTTATTGAAGCAGCAAATTACTATCAACTCAAAATGGGAATGAATAACTTACAACCTGACATGGTACAATATACAATAGAATAATAAAAGTATTTTTTTAATATTTGAGGTTTACCAGTTTTATTTGTTACAGTAAGGAAGGTAGTATTTCAACTAAAATTCTGTGTAAATATGATAAAACATACAGTGAAGTAGAAAACACTGAATCTTTAAAAAAAAAAGCCATGGCACTCACCATTAGAGTTTTGTCAAGTGCAAGACAATATATTGCAAGGTATGATTCACCTGGGTTATTGAATAGTGAGCACCAGGCAAACCAATAAAATCAAAGTACACCTGGTCATGAACCAATCAGAATTAAGTTTGTTAAATATCCACCAATCATAATGCATATATTACCATATCGTGACACACCAATAGAAGAAGCTTGAGTATTGGTTTCCCAGGATTTGTTTTTGAAAAAGGTTGAGTTTAAAAAAAATAATACTATACATTTTTTTTCAGCATTTTCTGCTTCTTGTCAGATAATTGACAAGTATGTATGTTTAATATACAAGGGTTTAATGAAGACTGACTGACACTGCCTAATAGAGCTATTGGTCCGGACAGAAGGAATCTGGTTGTCTGTCTTTTGCATTGTGAACTAAATGAAGACTATTTCCTGCAATCCGAACATCTTTTATACACCCCTCAAAGTTGGTGATGAATCCACCAGTCAAGCCCTCTTGGGGGTCATTGTATCCGCCTGTAGAAATAATAAAATGATCAAAGGGATGAAGAGGAAGGCAATATTCATGCAATTTTAGTTTACATACATGTAGCACATTGTTGCTGTCGAATGTCAGTGTTTCAATTACAAGTGCAAATTACTTGGATGATCACATTTCCAAAGATAATAATTCATGGGGGGTCCTCAAATTTGAAACAGCAGTTATAAATAATTGCAATATTTCAGCATTGTAAGTTTTACCTTAAGGTGCCAAATTACGGCATTTTGACTTTTGAAATTCCAATTGCACATACAACCAGGCCCTTCCTGATAGGTACATGTTTTACCCCATAGAGCAGCCAAAGTATTTGCCTGGGTTTATTTTATATTGCACCGACTCAAAGTCGGTTGAAACTCTTCAATTGATCAGACAGCAATGAAATACTTGTGATTTCCTAATAACAGCTGTTATAAATTATTTATTTACCTAGAATGCAAACATTTTTCAAGAACAAACATAACCTCCTTAACTAATTGTTAATTTCCTCTTGGTTTAAATTTAATAACACAACTCACCGATCCATAATGTTCCACTAATATCCAGCTGGGTAGTGCCACGTTTTGCCTGCAATGTCACTGGGTCCTCGCCATCTACTTGTAGCGACCCCTCTCGAAGTGATCTGAAACAAGAAATTGAATAAACGGAATTAGAGCTAGTACTTGTGAGAAAATATATACCACATTGAAAATTTCGATTAAAAACGATTTGTTCAGAGCCTACAGATATGTGTTTCATACCAGTAATATATGAACACAACATTGGTTTTATGTAGAGTAAATCACAATGTATTCAATGGCAGCTGTGGAGTGATTCTTGCCTGACCGATTTAATTGGGTTTAGCTGGAAAACATCTGTCCATTAGATCAGAGATTAAAAATCAGAATTAAAACCAAAGGAAGAGATGTTTCCCTTTTCTTTTGAGGAGCTTTTTAAAACAAAATAAGATAACAGGAACTGCCTACAGCATACGTACATGAAGTGACATCATAGACAGGAAGTGACATCATAGACAGGAAGTGACATACCTTGTGGCGCTGACTGTATGCCATTCATTATCGTTCACTATCTGTTCAGATGTAATTGTAATGGCACCAGACCCCAAGTTGAAAGCAAACTGTACTAAACCATCCGTGACAGCAACAGAAATGAAATCACCCATCTTGCCTTCAGCAACGCCATTCCATAGCAATAAACCGTTGGCTTCAGATGTGCGAAATGTTAGCTCAAAATCGTTAGAGCGTTGAGCTCTTTGTCTAATAACAAAACAACAATTATTATATGGATGATGTTTCTTTATACATAGCATTTGTCTTGATGCCATTTTTGTGTTTCATATCACTAAGGTTTTATGTTAGAACAGCATAGGACATTTGCACTCCATAAAAACCTAATATTAATAAAAGCACATTTAGTGAATTATCATACAACTGCATTCTTAGAATCATACACACACACACAAAATAAAATGATGATAACGTAGATTTCAGCGAGGGTACATTCATTACATTCATGCACAATATCATTCACTGCTGCGTAGATATCATTTCAAAATATTTAAATAAATTATTAAAGTTGACTTACTCTGTGTTAATCATATTCATATAACTGTAGAAGGAGTTACCGTCAAAGTTGACTGGTCCATCAATATTTATCGGCGGCTCTGTCATGACTATCTCCACTAGTTCAAAATAAAGAGAATTAATCAATATATACTGATGCTGATGCTGACAAATCATTTAATATAAAGCAAACCCTGGACAGATAATGCTGATAAAAACTTGGGTACTGGATTTCTTTAAAAATTACATATGAATAAGCTTGGATGAAAATTACTCTGCTTAGTGAAAGCATATACCCCATAAATAAATGAGTGAAAATAAATTCAATTCCTAAAGATTATTAGGAACATACATACATACATACATAACTAAAATACAAGTATATGGGCCACTCATCTTACTCACATCTGTAACCAGAAATTTAAAGTTGACTTTATGCTAGAAATTTTCTTATTTTTCATTTTTATCTTTTTTCTTTGGAGGAGAGTAAAAGTTCTGATAAAAAAAAAAAGGATGCAAACTCTGAGCTATTACCCATATATGTATATTGCTCAGACAAAAACAGGAAAACTAGACTTTGCCATTTTTTTATTTTATGGTAGTTTTTTTGTGACTCGCATGTGCAGATTAGAGGCCTTGCAACAGCAGTGCCTGTTGTCACTGTCACATGTACACAGGAATTTAAACATTCCAAAAATTAACAATAAATTAGATTCTATACCTTATATGATAATATTAAGAAATGATATTAAATCACAACCAGCCTGGGTTTCAAAGAATACATTGAATTATCTCATGATACACTAAATATAGTAATAAAAACTTAATTTATTAGAAACTAATAAAAACTATTTGAGAACAAGTTATCAATAAACAACAATAATTTTGTACCTGCAAGTCATCAAGATAATCTCCCCAATGCAATCCCGCAAAATGTTAAACCTTCAGCTTTTTGTTGATGTGCGGATTCAGCTCAAAGATAGGAATTATTTAATACTTTAATCTGTGTACCACAAAGTATAACCGAGTTTATGATCCCAACACCACGGGCAATGATTTAATAGGCTCTACAGTATTAGTTTTATTAGAAGCGCATATCCAAACAGACGGTACTTATTTTGATGAATATTTAACACACATATTTAAACATAAGTTTCATAAATACAAACACTGTACATTATAACTGTGGATGATAGAACACTTGCTGCCCTAGTGATTGGCAAAACTTTATTCTCATAAGGTGAGACAAAACACTACTTTGGATTGTTCTGAGGTCACAGTCTAATCTTTTGAGTCAATATCTGTATTATAAGCTGGATTGTCAGCATTTACCCGCAGCATAGTAAACAAGAGATACGTTTGAGTCATACCATACATCATTATCAACAGAACAAAACGACTTATCTAGCCTCTGGTTAATATCGAGGCTAGGGATTTATTAGTATTGAGTCTTCAGAGCTCATTTCAGTTAGTTTGTAATATTTCATTGTCACTATTTGGAGTATTTATCTCTTTCTTAATTTAGTCAGTTATGGTTCACATAAATGATGCAAACAAACATAAAACATCAATTATTTCTATTCTATTCTATTCTATTCTATTCTATTCTATTCTATTCTATGTCATGGCTAAGTATAGATGATAATAAATTAACAATGCTTGTCCATAATTAGTTTGGACACTGTTTCTAATAAATTAAACTAAACTGAATTACAAATATTTTATTCTATGCTCATCTATGATTCGCGTGATAGTATCATCATTATTGATGCAACTCGCTTTCAAAATACAGATGCACACTACAGATAAGTGAAAGATAAGTCATTTTAACAGTTACACTAAATCCCAAACAGATTTGGGTTTATTAATATCACCCCCTAAATTCTCGTTGCAATAGGCTTATCACTATAACTGTCACATCATGTGATGGTGTTGGAATATAAAACGATTCACCAGACATGACAATTCACAGGTGTGTGGGTAAGATCTCATGATAATACAAACACTAGCAGACCTTCAGTACACCTGAAGAAAGAAACTAATTGACAACGAAGAGTTTCTCATCTTTAAAATCTTTACTTCGACTGATCTACACGCGGCATGTACAAATTACCTATTAACCAAATTTTGCAAGGCATCAAGACAATTACACTAAAATCAGACTACATTCTACAAGGAAACAGTTTTTTTTAACTGAGACGAAAAATTCATTTTTTTGCAGTTCAGTCATACTACCTGGAGTGCTCAATCGAATGAACAGCAGAGCGAGCACTTAAATATAAACCCTACAGGAAGTGTTAAATTGTACATGAGGGAACACTACTCTCATAGCAATTACAAATAAAAAGAAAAGCGGAATGAGGAAGTGAGATTGGAGGGGCATATCATCTCGGAATATGTTTCAAAGGTTCTATGAATGCATGGTGCCCCTAGCTTTGAAAAAAAATATTTACCCATGATGCATTTTGACAGTTAGGTCACCAAGACTATTACAGTTATTACAGAATGCATGATCTTTAAAAAATCACACATCCTAGTAAATTTGGGAGGGTACACTATCGATGAGATTTTCCCAAAAATTTCCTGAAAAAATGTGAATAGTTCACAATAAAGTTTAAAATCAGCTAAAACGGCAAAAATGAATAAATTATTGCTGTTATAGGGGAACAAGTACCAGGATACAGATACATGTGTATTAGGCTTGAGTGACCTGCACAACTATGCATTGTATATCATGAAAAAAGTCTGTTACACAACAGACATTTTGGGGGGATTTCACATCAAAAAATTTCATGAAAAAAAATTTGAACACATATTCTCGTTTTGCCCATTTTTTCATTTTGACATAGAAAAAAAAAGTGATAAAGTTAAAAAAATAGTCAAAAAATCTGTTAAATGAATGAGTTTAAATTTAATTAGATTTGCAAGGATTGAACAAGCTCAATAATAAGAAAAACTAAAAAAAAAAAATGCATTGCTACAAATAAGGTCAAGGTGTTTGCAATATAAGAGGATCGATTAAATATTCATACATTCACCTTTGACACATGTTGCCATGGTAATTGGTAAATTAAACATTTATGGAATTATGCGTTTTCAATCATACTGAAGTTCACAGTAGCTTAGTAAATGAGTTGAAGCATAAGGCAGAATTTAATATATCGAAAAAACCTGTCAATAAAAAAACTGCTCTCTGATTGGTCTGACTGTTAGGTGTTAGGATTTGGTAGCCAATCACGGACAATCTTGTAAATAGCTTTGTATCAACAATACAGGTAGTATCCAAGATGAAATTGGCAAGGTTCATAGAAAACTAGATAAATGATTAAAACTTGGTTGCGATAATTGCCACATACATATTTTATAGAGACCCTTGAAATGGTTCCGCACATACGCTTCAGGCAGAATTTCTCATTCATTGCACAAATGTTACATTGTCAATACGGCGTACAATCATTCATGGTACGTGCTCAGGAAAAACTATCATTACAAGAGGCCAGGTCTTGAGACTGAATATCAATCAGCAAAAATATGGTTCCCGATAGATAAATATAATTGAGGAGTTGAATGGGAAATTTACTGACACAAGTTACCAATAAAGACATCAATGCTGTACTATTTCGCAATATCTACGGTCTTCCATATCTGAGTAAGTACGCGATTGCGAATGGCGAACATTATTTCACAGATTTAGGTGATTGAGTTCAGCCTCTTTAATAACAGGGCGTCATCAAGTCAAATGTATCATACAGGGAATTTTTCTAATTACAATTCAAATGTAGCTTTCATAGGTTAACTTTTTCACCACCAGACTTTGTCCAATTTTTTTTATGCAATTTTTTTTATGTTGTTCAATATTTCTGGAAATGAACCCTAATTTTGGAGCCAACAAACAAAATATGAGTCAATTATCTGGTTTTACTCAATAAATTTGCCTACTTTTGTTTAAATTTTCTGAAGGAAAGTGAAGACTATGAATTTTGTGAATTTGTGATGAAGAGAGGGAACTGGTGGTGAAAAGGTTAATCTAAATTCAATGTGAAACATTCCCCACATGATTTGCTTGATCCCTGTGTGTCCATGAACCTGCGTGTTTAGGCTCTCCCTTCTAAAATATATACTAGTACTACTTATTGCATCTGTTGCCACTGAAAATTTTGAACACGGAACATTTCATACTCCCTAGATTAGCCGGGTTCAACATGTTCTAATTAAAGAATTGAAACCGCAATGTATGATGGGATGTTAGGTTGTCCAGATAATAAACAAAATCAGTGATGTCACTTCAAGATTTGAAAAAACAATTTCACTGTAGAAACTAGTGAGAACAATATTTTTTTTTAAATTGACCAGTGAACTGATAATTTTTATTCATTTTCATCAGCCTAATGCCATGCTCAATGATCTAAGCCTCTCCTGATGCCCCATTTGAAAATTTTTAAACCTGTCATAATGGCTGAAAATAAAACTGCATTTATAAATAAGTTTAAACAAAAATGGCAGTCTGTAAACAAAAAGTCAGACACGGTAACTTTGTAGATATATCAAGACAGAAAAAAAATCAAATTTAATCAAACCACGTTCTTACTTTGTTCACAGGTGTCTCCAAGGTATCCCATCTTGCACATACACTCAAATGAGTCCCCTTTAGGCATGCATATGCCGTCGTTTTGACAGGGATTGTTGGTGCATGCATGCTCATTGTAGTTTGTAATCTCAACACCACGAATAGCACCACCAGTGAGATCAACGATTTTTTCTTCCCCGACTTCAAACTGAAAGAAGAGATCAAACTTTGATGACAAAACTTTCCTAGGCTAAGAGAAAAATGAATTTATTAGGGTTGGTTTTGTTAGCCTTAAATCAACTTGCAATTTTTAAAACGGATATAAATTCTTTGTAGTAATGAAAACTGCTTTTATTTTCGCAAGAGATGAATACATTTCTGAATTTTACGGCCGATCACAAGCGTGAAATTTTGTAGTAATGAAGATTTCACAGTGGTCATAATAAAACTATCAAATTGTGAGAATTTTAAACAGCAAAAATTAAGCAATCTACAGTATTTATTAAAAGGAGTCATATTTAGGCTGTTTCAAAACCAAGCTATTTTTTCTTCCCAAAAATTTACATTCTGTACAATTTCATACAATTTTTGAACATAGTTTTAGATATTGTTTTTATTGACACTTCATGTGAGAAGGGAGAACTACAATTGTGTAGTTGACAATGGCACCCAAGCGGCAAATTGTGACAAAATTTGACAATTTTATTGGAGATAAATCTGTAAACTGATTTAACTCGACATGAACCAGCTTTCATAAATTTTGGTGATCAGGGAATTCAGACTATATAAAAGAGTCACAGAGACTTGCGTGAAAAGTCGTGCTCAAAATATTTCTTTTTTCGAACAGCTCACAAACGATTAGATAGCAGAAATGTACAGCTGACATCTAACGTGTGTAGTTCAGAGAGTGCAGCTGGTGACGAAATATAAATATCGCCTACAGCGATAAAATTAAACAAATTACAGCCAGCATTTATAAAGAATTAGAGAATAGAAAATTTGAAATGTTGATTAAATTTGAAATCAGACATTACCGGTATATTGTAACAACTGGAGGATCATACACAAGACATGATTGGTCAATCAATTTGTGTACATTATGTATGGAGTTTCAAAACTACGGTACGACCAATTTCACAAAAATCAGTTCTGGCATAACGCTGAACAACATTAAGTTACGTATATGAGAAAACATGCCTAGGTGTGAACTGACATATTTAATATTACAGCAGACGAAACGTTGTTATGTAAACCTGACTTCCACCATCCCAAGGCATTTTTCTTTGATGCTGGTGGTCTGGAAAGGGAGGATGTGTAAGTCTGGCACACGTAATACTGTTAGTAATCTCTGATCAAAGAAGCTATCAGCTAGAAATGAATAATTATGCACAAGGTATGGTAAATACATGATTTTTATGAAATCTGTCAGTAAAATAATTTAAATGGTAAAAGTAAATTGAAAGTCAATTTTCAGACTAACACTGTTAATTACGTTATTTTTACTGGATTCATCTAAAAACCAGAATTTAGGTAAAATGCTGTAAATTATTTTCATGATTTGACGCACCAAGATAACAAAAATTGTTTTTGGATATAATTTTCTCACATCCACAAAAAATGTTAAATTCCACATTATAATAATTATTCTACAGTACATGTAGATCATTAGGTAATGGATTATTGTTGTGTTAACCTTTTCACAACTAGACTATCTTGCCAAATTTTTTTTCTCATTTTCTTCAATATTTCTGGAAATGAACCCTAACAGACCAAATTTGAGTTAACTTTCATTTTTTACTCACAAAAATCAACTATTATTGTCCCAATCTTCTGAAGGACTACTTTGTGAATTTGTGATGAAAAGAGGGAACCAGTGGTGAAAATGTTAAATGTGAAGTTATTACGAGTGCCTCGCATATTCTGCACAAAGACAGTGCCATGACTTTATCCACCAATGCAAAATGGAGACAAATGTGGCCCTGGGCTGTCTGAGTGCATACTTTGCTGCATCTTCCTATAAACTTATTATTATACATCTTTCGTAATATGGGCAGGATTCTAATCTGATCTCAATCCGATGTAAGTTGTTTTAATCGATGGTCAATGGTTTTATAATTCCATTGGCATACATACCGCAAACTTCTTTTAATCAATTATTAACTACGAATCATGCTAAGACAGCTCTCATCTGCTCTCATCAGCCAATTGAAACGCTGTATTAAAATGGGCTATACCATTTAAAGTGGGTGTGTAACATAAGTTCTGAAAGGCTGCTCACTCGGCAAGATTTGAATGTGATTTGCATAGGTAGTTAATGAAATATAGTTTGAGGTATGTACATCGACGGATAATAATTGTATTTATTACATATCTAAAGTAATCAGAGACTAAATCAGATTTTAATCAGATTAGGTAAGGTCTCACTTTTGATTAAGATGTCTTAACAAATATACAAATATTACTGGAACATTATTTGTATTTGAAATTGACATTTGCTTGTATGATTATCATAATCATAATCAAAAAAGGTGCTTTACTGTAACATACGGACAGATGTATAATAATAATGAATTTGATATCAGTTATTAAATCATATTAGTGGCATTCATAGAAAATATTAACTAAATGTTGGTTTTTGAATGTGCATTGATAAGCACTAAAATTTTTTTTCATAATACTGAAATGTTCAAGAACACCCATATTGTTAAACAGCGACAAAACACACAATACAGACAACACTGACAAGATTAATCAACATATGAAAGACAGAACGACAAACGTGCAGTTGCAATCAGCACGGGTGTACTAAATATTACAAATAATTTGTTAAAACAGTAATGAATTCAACACGGGAAAAAAATACAACAAATATATTGAACATCATTTTAAACACTTGTGAGCACACAGAACATCAATGCGTTGAACACTCAGTGAAAGAGACGCAGGGACATTAATAAACACATAAGACATTAATAAAACACATAAACACTGACAGATCATTTTGAACACAAGCATGTTAATAAGCAACAGCATTAAACATTGGGTGAACACACTTCATGTGTGTTAAACACTAGACAATAAAACACAGTAAACACTTGGTAAGCAACACATTCAACACCAAAGTTAATAAACTTCCCAGTAACCCCTTTGATTATAAATTGCCACACCTCTGGTGAATGAAGCAAATAATACTACAGCTGTGTTTTCTCTATTAGAGGTGCAATCATTGCATTATCAAATTTGTATCAGTGACATTTAGTGCTTTTAAAAACAACGCTTCACAAATTATCAAGTAGCATAATATTCTGCTAGCCAAAAACAAATCAGTATACAAGACAGGAATACAAATAATTCCATAGCCTTGGTGAAAACTAAAATTCTCAAATTTTACAAGCATGGATTTTACAACTATATCTGGTAAAGTGGTTTTGAATGTTTGAGATAAGACTTCAAGGTCGTGATGTGTAACGACGTACAATCTGTATTTACTCTATTAATAGCACATTTCCAATAGACGCAAATGTTTATTTCAATAGAAAGACTTATTTTTGAAGCTATTCAGAAATGGCAACGAGTAAAATAAATACACACAGTAAGTGCAATTAACCTCTAATTCAGAAAACACATTAAAAACATAAATTATTATTAACAATAATATTATTTGTTTTTTCAAATAGTTGGTGATATAAAGGTTTACCTGTACGCTCATCTACGGAGGCAGTGGAGGGTGGAAATAATGAATAAAACAACAATGAAGACAACACGCATTATATAATGGTGACAACAGCAAGATATGAAAAGGAAAAAAAAAATAAAGCAGAAAAACATGGAGGTGAAAAAAATAGTTATAGTGGAAAATATCTAAACCGAACATTACGAGGAAATTGTTCATGTTTTAAAGAGCTTCTGGTCACATGAATTTTGTATGAAGAACTGAAAATGAATGTTTATTTTACGCAGAGTTCGGTTTAGATAAGTATTACTGGACACAATACTGCAATTGAGTGCCAAGCATTTTATTATTACAGTGCATGTAATATATGCCTACAAATTTTAGAACCAAGGGTGGATTATCAAGGGCTCCCTGTAGATGGTGACACGTGTCGAAAATCTTACTAATGTGTGTGTAAAATAAATTTGTGCAATGATTTATTAATTTTATATAGACAACAAATTTATTAAAAGAAATTAATTCTCTGAGAAATAAGCCATGAAAAAATAGTTTACTCATTGTCTCATTTTCTAAAAAAGACATTTTGAAAAATGTGAAGTGATTTTCAAATTAAACTCAATTCAATGAAAAAAAATTATCAAATATATCTGTAAACGCACCAAATATTCCATGGGTTATAATCCCGCTATTTTAGTTGATAAGTGGAATCTGCTAAACCAAATTTGTGTGTAAACATAATGATATTAGAACTGATTGTTTTTAATGGAAAATTTACACACATATACAAATAAATTATCAGTTTTCAAAATAAAAAATTTATCAGTCAAAATTTGCATTTTTACATGGTTAATGTTTAATTTTAAGCAAATTTTCAAAATGAAATCTCAATTGAATCCCAAAAAGTCAGTCTTGTGTGATTTCCCAATGAGAATTCCAAGTCAAATGTCACCCTATAGGCTTACCCTTTATCTAATCCGCCCTTTAAAAGATAAATTACTGAAATAATAGAATATTAACTAGGACACAACTGGTGATGCAAAACAGGGTAAAAAGTGAGCAGAGAACATAATGTGAAAATAAAAATTCAAATATAAAAATAATTTTAAACTAAAAGCAACATTACTTTATCAAAAATGCATTTAATTGTCATATTTTCAATCTCATTTAGCAATATATCAAGCTACATGTATGAAGCCAGCCGAGTTTGTACATAACGACATACGAGTTGTGGCAGACTAGGTGGTATGAGAAAATGCATCACTATGGCAACACAATGGATGGTGGATGTTTGGAAAATGAACTATCCTTGCAGTCTCTTATTAGTTCCTTCAGCATACAACCTTATAAGGAATATCCAGTGTGGGTTCCCCGTTAAGACTTGACTGAATATTTCAATTCTTTCAGCTTTTTAGATTTTCACAATGTTTTACCTTTTGTATAGCTCCGACTAGCCCATTGGTGATTCCGGCTTTTCTGGAAAACTTACTGTAATCGTCAGTACCACCCAGGAACAAATTCTCCTTGAGATTTAGTTGCCCCAGACGGCCCTGGAACATGAATAGAACTATAGATTTTAGTAAAAACAATATTCCTAAGCATGTGGCATTAATGAAATCAGATGATCAATGAATGGCTAAGATTGGTGTTGTGAGAGTTCAGGATTGGCTGATTTAATTATTCCACAGTATGTGCAGCAACAATCAGTACACACGAAAACATCTGTAACTAGAGTTCGCAAAGACTAATTGACCTCTGACCTGTGAATGTCCAGTGACTGGTGGTAGATCATCAATGACCATTTCGCCATCTCTGCCGTCCCTCATAACCTTTACTTGATGCCACTCATCTAAAGTTACCCGATCTTCACTCCTAGGATAGTATTAGATATCAGTGTCAACACGAATCATCAGAAGCAATGATAGGGAATCATCAGAAGCAATGATAGGGAATCATCAGAAGCAATGATAGGGAATCATCAGAAGCAATGATAGGGAATCATCTAACTTCTATCAATAATAAAAGCTGGCTATATGTTCTAATACTAGCCACATGTTTGACTCAGTTCTGTGCAAAGAAAGAATAACATTTTTAAAAACATTTGAGTTTTTTTTTTTTTATAGAACCCATTCAATGTTAATAACTTACAGTTATTATAATAATCATCCAAAAAACTCATCAGAAAAAGAAGTCTGCATAATTCAGATTTAATCACTGAATAAAACCAATCATGTCTGGGACTGACATTAAAATTAAATCTGTCCATTGAATAATTTGGAGAATAAAAGTCACAGTTCTGTTGATTATATACCTAGCAAGATTAAAGAGGGGAAGTTTTTATCTGCGTATGTGACAGACGGTCATAGCATGTTTTTTTTTAAATAATTTCTCATTACTACACAGGTATTAATTATAGGTGATGAACAAAGCATGGAGACTATTTTGTGAAAGGCGACACATTGAAGGGCTTAACAAAACAATCCATTCCTGGAAACGACTGACTGCATTTTGTTCTATTACAAACAAATCATCAGTAAGTCCTAAAAAAAACATTTCGCCATGGCACAGTGACAAATTGATTAATTTTGCTGTCAAATAAAAAAACAAGACAAAAATGGCCTTTTTGAAAAAACAAACAATTTAACCAAATTTTGCAAGGCCTATCAACACTCACCGTGTGAGTTTGATGTACTTCAACAAATATTTTTTTTGGTTCACATGTTCCATTATTTAAGATGCATTTTCCATATTATATTATTTTCAGCATTAAGATCAAATAAAAAAATGATATAGGCAAAAACTAGAATTAACATAAATAATACATTCATATTTCTTATCAACGTACTGGGATTCGATAAATGCAGCAAAGCCATAAAGAGATATGCAAGTCGTTGAAATCAATTATTTAGATTAGGGGTTAACTTGTACTATTCCTATAAGCCTTGTAGTAAAAAGAGGTTACAATGCTTTGCGTAACCTGATGATTATCGACACCAAAGTTAAGGAAACAAACAAAAGATGCCCCTTAACTTCAGTGGTATTTGTCATCACACTACAATTTCTGTTGTCAGATCTGCAGTGCACTGCCCTCTCAGGCAAAATGGTATTCAAACAAAATAATTTATTATTTGAACTAGTGAGGGCACTACTTTCTGTTTTGTATACATGTTACTGCAATTCAATGCTTCTCATAAATTTGATCCATTAAAGCCAAGATTGACTTAAACTCTGAAGTCAACTTTGAACACCTAAGACACTTATTTTTCAAACTTTTTTTTATTTTTTTTTCTAAAATTGTGCAATTAGGAAATTATGTCCAGAAAATATTTAAAATTGTTTGCAAGTTGTACTGAAATTTAGTTCAGGTATACAGAACAATTTCAAAGTTGTAAACAAAAAAGCGATCAGAGACGGCAGACCCCCCAGCATCTTTTTTTTTAATAACTGACCTGATTTCAGCGGCTCCTGACCCAAGGTCATATCGAAATTCTAGAAATCCGTTCACCAAATTGAGTGCGATGAAATCTCCCTTGCCGTTTGTCAGCTGACCATTGTAGAATATCATACCATTAGGTGACTTAGTCAGGAATGTTGTCATGATTTCGATGCGCTGTCCGTATTGACCATTAAGCCCTGGTCTCTCAATGAAAGAATTACCATGGAATGCTGGAATAAATGGCCCTTCAACAAGAACTGGAAAAACAAAAAAGTAGTAAGAAAAAAATAGTACGGTATGATGCAATTTTAAGGTTTATTATACAGAACTTTATTATTTGCGGGGCACAAACAAAAAATACATTTTTTAGCCGAGGAGATTTTAATCCTGATTAAAAGTACTTATACTTGCCAAAGGTCTGAAGAAAAGTTTTTATTTATTTTTGTCAAAATCTTTCTGTCAATTTTGCACCAAACAGACATAATCTTTCACAGGCTTGCAGGTATTGATCAAAAGTTTTGAAAAAATCCAGAATAATATATGTAGTATTACAGTTTTGATGCAAATTGCGTTTGAAAGCAAAAGAACCACTTGTTTTTGCCCCTCAAATAATGTTCCATTCTCCCCTATCATCCCATGCACTGTTCCAAATACCATGGTTACATAGATCTGGGAAGCAGTGGACGCAATGACAGGAAATGTACCATTATTTGAGAGGGAAAAATACAAAATACAAAATAAAGTCTATTGCAAACATACTGAGAAAACATCCTAATAGTGAAAATAAATGTTGATAAAGATAAAATTTTACAGTATTACTATAGTTTCCTTAAATCTTTGAAACACACAATCATTTTGGGGATCACGTGGCATATAAAGACAGAACTACGTAAATTAATTTTGGACGATGGTTTTTATACTCACTTTCATCTTGACACATGTCGCCTTCAAATCCAAGTGGACATTGACACATGTACCCGCCATCAGTCAGACCTTTACATGTTGACCCCTCTGCACACATGTTACCATCACAAGGATCTACCAACGTATCACCGCACACAGGACCTAGAGTGAACATACAATGGTCACATATATTTCCAATCACAATTAGATCCGCCTTCTTAATGCGCTAATCGACTTATTCCTTTCACTGTAAAATATTTAATTAACTGAAAATCATCTCTGATGAAAAGACGTTTTGGATGAAGTTTATTTTCACTGATTTTTGTGTTGAATATTACTTTCACTAATTCACTCCTTCAGTGAAAATAAACAAGTCATTGTCAATGACACGTCCCCGTTCCGTTCATATTTGAGTGACATATACATTCAAAGCAGATCATGACCGAAATGCACCTGCATATGTACAACACATTGTGCTAAATCTGAACAAAATCCATCCATGCATGACTGAGATCCGGTTCTGGAATTGTGAAAATACGTGATTTTGATGCATTTTCGGCCTTAAAATGGCCATCATTCCGCTATTGTTAAGCAGATCATGAAACAAATGCACATATCTATTTGTGACATGATGTACCTTGTGTGTGTGAAGTTTGAACTTGATCAATCCAGACATGTCTCGGATACGGATCCAGAACTGAATTCTTTAAAACAAAATGGCCGCCAGTCGGCTATTTCGAACTTGATCCG